GTACTGACATCTATAAACAGTGAATGTGCTGATATGTGGCGTGCAATGGAACGGGAAAAATCTATTCAATATTTTTGTAATGCGATGTGGGCGGATGACAGAATTGTTTACATGAAATATGTTAAGGTCCGTAGCGCTGTTACGTAGATGTTACGCAAACAAGAGTTTAGGGCCGACCTCTGCTGCTCCTGATGTAACTTCCCCTCTCAGTGATAGGAATTATTATTTTCTATTTCTTTAATCCTTTCAAAATACTTAGACATCCCATAAGTGTGCTTTGGCCCAAATTATGCCTTGAGAGCTTGATTCAATCTTTATTATACATACGTATATGTTAATGCATATGCATTTCAGATTCTATTAAGACTCAAAAACTTCCTTTGAATCTCATTTCCAGTTGCCGACATGCCCAAGGAGGATATCTTGCATCATCTAGATACTTGTACGGACTTCATAAGAGAGGCTTTGGCTCAAAATGGGAATGTGCTCGTACACTGGTTAGTACGCTCCCCTGCACTACCAACTCAAACCAATTAAATACGAAATTATTTCTACCTTTAATATTTTTCTGAACTTTCCTTCCTTTTCAGTTATTTCGGCGTCAGTCGCAGTTCCGCAGCAGTCATAGCTTTCATTATGAAACAACACGATGTAGAGTATCAAGCTGCTTTTGATTTGGTACGCTCGAAACGTCGCTTCGTGCAGCCTAATCCGGGTTTCGTGTCGCAGCTGAAGCTCTATCGCCGCATGGGCTGCAAAATCGACGCACAATATCAGCGTTACAAACTCTATCGTCTACGTTTGGCTGGTGAACAAGTTCGTAAAGGTATGATGTTAAAAATTAGTTTTGCTACAGCGAAAAAGTTATTTACTTTGCTTCTTATTCGTCATTAGCCAAAATATTGCCACAATCCTTCAATAGTCTGATTAAGTCGGATCCGGCCGTCACGCAAGAGAATCCAGAACCCATTGTCTATCGTTGTCGCAAATGCCGGCGCGTCTTGGCTTCCAAATCACACGTGCTACTCCACAATAATAAATCGCTTGCTGCATCAGCTACCGCAAACAATGGACTGCCCCCAATGTCAAGCAATGCCAACACAGATGCACAGCAAGCGCCTCGGTTGCTCGAACAGATCGCCGCTCAAATACGCAAGGCTTCACTGAACTCACCCACCGGCGCTGGTGCTGCCGATGCTGCCAAGGAGCAGCAGCCGGCCGTTTGTCGCGATATAGTGTTTGTGGAACCGATCTCCTGGATGCGTAACATCTCACACAACACACAAGGCCGCTTGCACTGTCCGAAATGCGAGCAGAAGGTGGGTAATTTCAGCTGGATCAACGGCTGTCAGTGCCCATGCGGCGAGGAAGTATCGCCGGCCTTCTATTTGATACCATCGCGCGTGGAACTATCCAAAGCCGTGCAGAACGTACAAACCACACTTTAGATTAGTTACCGAGTAGGTAGACTGCCCCACTGGTAAAATGTTGAGCATTTATTCTCAAAAGTATTACTAATTGGATATATAAAATATTAAAAAATAAACTAAATATGAAATCAAAGTTTACAATCTTGATGTGAAATTAAAATGCTTCCATTGTATGTAAACCGAGACTCAAATTAAATAAGATACTTGTTCTTAATAAATCACATCTCTTAGCTAATATATCAAAATTTTGCAAATCGCTTAGGTACATAAAAAATATATTTAAAAAAATGTTGAATGTTTGTAGCGGCTTTTTCAAGATTAAAAGAACAAGGAAGTAACTTAAAAGAACTTAACTTAAAACGTTAAAGAATAAGGGTTTCAGAAGAGCCAAGTGATTTTCAAAAAAGTTTAATATGCAAAAATTGTCTCTGTGTTTTCAAAAGAAAATACAAAATATAGTCTGAGTTTTCAAAAACTTAAAAAAAAATTAAGCATGTTTACAACAGAATAACCATGGCATAATTTCGAAAGAGGACATAATGCTGACCATTTTCCCTGAAAGGTTAAGGTTACGGTGTATTTGTACTGCGACAAAAGTAGTTTAAAGAGTTAGGGCTTAGATGTTTAAGGAAAAACTTTTTTATTTTAAAAATATATGTATGAAATATACTTGCACTTTAACCCAGCAACATCCCACATAACCTTTTCTTCAAACAGTACAAATACTAAGTAAAATATTTCATACGATGTCTTCGGGAAAAATAATCCTTATCAAAATATAAGGGTGGGTTTGTAAACCGCACAATTCTCGCGGTCCCTTCAATTACACACGAAAGAATACATTCCAAAAAAAATGCAAAGCATCAGTCTATTTTATTTCTAAATCTCTGTAGATTGCAATGCCAAATGTGCTTAGCTACGGTTAGATGCTAGTTTTCAACTAGGTTGCGCAATCTTCTGGTGCGGTTTAGAAATAAGAGACTGATGCTTTGTATTTTGGCGTTTTGGAGTGCACCCAAATTATGAAAAACAACAACTTCAAAAATTTCTCTCATGCGATTTATTTAATTTTATTTGCTTTCCTCATATTTGCTTAAACACGAGATCTGCGGATGTTTTGTTTGTTCGCTCACTACCTCTAATTTTTGATAAATAACGTCGAGATTTTGCTCGCGTTTGAGTGCACACAAATCCAAACTCAGAAGTGCTGGAATATAACTTTGTTTAGCGGAAATGGTCGGTATGATGCCCTCTTTCAAAATTATACCACTCTTATTCTATTGCAAAAAAAAACAAATGGAATGATTGTCGTATTGAGAAAAAAACACCGCTTTAAGGTGCAAAAACAGATGCGATAACGATAAAAAGCAAAATCCCGTAAACTGGCGCGATACAATACACTGTGGTGCTTCATCTTCGTTATGTTAATATGGGGTAATAATTGACGATTAAATTATTCATTTAATTTCAGAATTGAATAATGAACAAGCCACTCTATCGCTCGATCAATCGTGCTTACTAGAATACAATTTTTTAACGCATCGTATCGTTCTGATATGTACATCTGTACATCCCATATACCGTATTGATTGCATATGTTAAATTTTTGTTTCGCACCGATAGTATCGCATCTGTTTGAGGCTACCTTGAATGAGATATGAAAAATGTATATCTCACATTTGCTGCAAGTGCCATAACAAAAAAAAAAATGTTAGTATGTAGAAATAACCGCTACCTGCTCTGTGTAACGTACCGACTACCAGTAACTCACTAGAACAACATGTATATTAGGGTGGCCATGGAAAATTTTATTTTTTTTTTTGAAATTTGAAAACCCCCTAATTTTTATCCTTTTTATGAGAAATATTATTGCATATTTATATAGATTTTTTCAAAATCGTTTAGAGGTCGCGACCTGTCCTTTTGATACATAAAATCGCCTTTTAGCAAACAAATTGGTTTTTTAAAAAAATTTTGGAAAATGGGTGTGGCACTGCCCACTTATATATGTGTACTCAAAAACTACTTCACCAATCTCGACTAAATTTGTTGAAATTCTTTTGCTAAAGAGCGATTTTATGTATCAAGTTTGAATAAATATTGATGAATTTCTTAGCCACACTGCTCAAAAATCGGAAATCTGGTTAATACACACATATAAATACAAGGATGTATTTAAAAAGAGTTGTCAAACTTCGACAATTTTTATGCGATTGAAAATAAATTTAATTTTAGATAGTACTACATATTTTTAAATTGTGGNTTTTATTTGCCCGATGAAAACTCCCAACAATCCAAGTCTGACAATAGATTATTATACATCATTTTAAAGGCCTATAAATCCACTTCTCACAACATGCTCGATCTTTAAAATTTAATGAAAAATAGTCATTCAAAGACTGATATATCTACAAAACCATATTTTCTGACCTAAAATGACAAGTCGCGACCTCTAAATGATTTTTAAAAAATCTATAAAAATAGGAAATAGTATTTCTCATAAAAAGGAAGAAAATTAGGGGGTAGGGCCTTGAAATTAAAAAAAAAAACTTTTCGATGTGCACCCTAATGTATGTATATACATACTATATCGCACGTTTAATAATATAGAGATGTAATTCAATATTTACGTTTTTTGAGATTTCATCAGACAATTAAGAAGCTTGATAAGGAGAATATGGGTGTATTCGAGTTGCAATTAATGCGGCAATGTTACTTTTTATGGAAAAGAATCACGCTATACGCGAAAATTTGGGCGACTCTGCCTACATCAGTTGCTCATCATTGGCCAAGTCAAAATCAACATACAATTTTTTACTGCGCAATTTCTGTAGCATTTCAGAAGATTTTCAGTTGAGCATCAGCATCATATTATCAAGAAAGCAACAAGGCTGCAGTATTGCGGTAATTATTACGTATAAAAACTGGACTTAGCAACTTTTCACTCTAAGCTAGCGATATGTAAACAGCTGTTTTTCTCGAGTTTTTGATTATGGCACTAGTGCAGCAAATGTGCTATATGATTTAATTAATAATTAACCCGTTTTGTAACAATAAAAAAAAAACGTTAAATGTATGTATGTATGTCAAGTAAGTAAACTAATCGTTAAGTCACGCATATTTAAGAAATTAAATCATTTCTATGTACGTGACTAGTCATTGAGAATCTTTGAAATAAATAAAAATAATAATATAATAAAAAAATTTCGATTTCACAAAAATAAGAGTTTTCATGCAACTTCTGGCGTTTTTACTTAATTTATGGGTGCCGAATTGTCCGACAATAGATAAACATACTCACCCGTAATTTTTACTAGGTTATGAACTTTTTAAATTTAAATTAAATTCAAGTGCAATTCAGCTAAATGCACTTATTGTTGTGATTGTGAGAGCATAAAAATTCAACAAAACAATTTTGGTGGAAATGTTTCTGAAGTCACAGCACTCAGCCGGATATAAATTCATTGCTTGCAACTCACATACATATATGAAAATGAAGCGAAATAATACAATATTCGCCATGTTTTTGCTTCGAATTCGCATATTTTATTGAAAATTTTCGTAACCAGCTGTATTTGATAAATTACTCCGCTACTTTAATTAATACCTAAGAAGCCGGGTAATTCTTTTTTGCTTTTGCCTGCGCAGGTTTTTTTTTTTAATAAGTAAACGGTCATTTTGTACAACGAGAAAAGCGCCTACATGTGTAATATTTTGTTACAAGTTGTTTAGCTTTTTAACTTTTTTGTAATTTTTCATATAAAAATCGCGCAATATGCTGATTTGATTTGCCTCTAATAAGTACTTTAAATTATGAATTAAAAACTTAAATTTCAAAATGAGAAACAACACCAGTTCAATCAGTAACAATACATGTTCATAATAATTCATTTCGCTTTAAAAATATTCAAATATTGTTTTAACGTAAAAATCGCGCTTAATTGCAACAAAGTTAAAAAGTTACAATAATTAGAAAAATTATGAAGTAGATAAATTAGTTGGCAGCGATTTACCGTTTGCCAATTTGTTTGCTATTCTTTTTCGTTCATAAAATTACGCATTAGAAAACTCAAGCATAAACTCAATAGTTAAAAATTCACCTCTTTTTTTGGCTATATCGCGGCCTAACGGGCATGCTGCCGGCTCGGCCCAAGCGCCTTTGGTTGTTCACGTGTACGGTGTTGCTGACGGCTGTTATCGTTGGGGATTATAAGTACTTGGCTGTTGTTTCTGTTATTTATTATTAGGGCAAATAATTGCTCGTCTGCTGTGCACAGCTGTTTGTGTTTGAAAAAAAATGTTGATTTTTGGAAGGTGTCTGTTACCTGCAATAAGTTCACTCTTTGTTGATGACTGGCTCAGCAGCTGAAGTCACGCGGACTACAGGAACAAAGGAAGCAGTTGGTGATTGTTTTTAGAGGGCGTTGTGATTATAGTTCCATTTTGATGCACTGTCTTTTCGCAGGTGATTTCTGTAAAAGTGCACAGTATTGTGAAAGTTTTTGCGAATACTTCGATTTAATAGCTGCTAAAAACAAAATACCATCACATAATAATAAGCTTTCTTTTATAGCTTGAATTAGGGAGAGTAAAGATAAAATTGTTTGCTTAAAGGAATTATGAGGTTGGGAATAATGCGCTGTGCCAGCGTTGGCCACGAAAGTTTTTTTTTTTTTAACGAACGGAAGCTGAATTTCAAAATGCCTCTAACATGTTTATTCTGCGCGTTACCCATAATTTTGTAACCGGGAAAATTTTATTACCAAAAAATGTTGGCACACTTGTAACCATAATATTAATTACGTTGTCAATATAAAAAGCAATTCAGCTATGAAAGGGTTTAAAAATTTACAGCAACTTTATTTACCGGTTACCAAAATTTGTATTATCAGCGCAGAATAGACCTGTAAAAGATGCTTTGTGGCGCTCAAAAGTATGCAATACACACAGGCAGAGTTTGTTACTAACAACGAAAAAATTTTAGATGAGAATTTCGGTTTTAACAAAATATTTGTTATTCATTTAATTTTCGCTCAACAAATTTTATTAAAAATACTTTCGTGGCGCATTTAAACAAGTATTTTTTTTTGTGCCGAAAAAGGTTGATAAAGTATTTTTAAATAATTTTAGTCTAGAATTCATATTTTTATGTTTTCGTAAATGGCAACGTTTTCGTATATGGAAAAGAATAAGAATATTTCACATAATTGAATAACTTACTGACTATTTAAAAATTATACGAGAAAACAACACAAGTTAGCCGTATCATAAATTATTGTTACCTTTGTAAAGCGGGTATGAAAAAATTGAGTTTTCCACTAAATCACACATCAACTTCAATCCCTTTACTTCCACCACATTACTTTTTTAACTTCCCAACACACAAAATCTTTTTTTCCTACTAAATAAGAATGAAGACGCAATTTGCAAAATTCAGTTTTTGTTTAAACAATTACCTCGATGTGGGTGAATGTGTGCGTAGTTTATTGAGCGTATTGTACGAAGTAACGAACTGGCGTACGAACGAATGCGTACGCGGGTCACTTAAATTCTACAAACGTTATTGGTATGGTAATCTTCAAATGTTGACTTCCAGAACATACAGTACGAAAAATACGAGTATTAATTTGCTTTTTTTGATTTGGTTTTGTCATTTAGTTAAGTGTTATGTTTTTTTATGCTACATGTTTGAAAAAAATCCAAAAAGTACCTTGTAATCGAGTTTGTTCGGAGGGGACTGGTCTTGTAGTCGCTACTAAACTGGGTTCGGGCGGACATTCAGTCGCTCGTGTATATGTGTATGCGACCGACTATAGTCACTTATCATCGCTTTGTAAGTGAATTTACGCTATGAAAAGTCAAACAAAGAACTCAAAAATTAAAACCAACTACCTTGCAATAACATAATTTTTAATCTATTAGTTTTTTTTTTTAATTTTGCTTCAAATGTACCTCGGAATGACGCAGCCAACTTAACGGATTTTATACTCTGACAATGACGCAACCTACGGCAATTAATGGTGGCATTTTGTGACAATTAAAGCCAGCTGAGAGTGGAGTCGCATAGGTAGAGCATGCGCTGACACGGCGTTGCAGTTACGCTGCAACGACTTCAATGTGCATGAATGTCTCTCCGCCTAACAATTAAAAGTTAATTTTATTTTTTTTTTCCAATTCTACATACATTAATAATGT